GTACACATAACTCTCGGATTTAAATCCGAAGTTTCCGCATTTATTTAATATTATTTTATATAATTATAAGTATGTTGTAATTGTATAGATTTTTCATATATAAAGAAATAAGCTTCTTGTTCTTTTTATTTAGAAATTTAAAAATGATAAAAAAAAACTCGGAAATACATTTAAATCAATTGTTATCGACTGTGATTTAGAACGATTAAACAAACCTGTACGTAAGCAGCTGAACAAATTCATCATGTCATCATCATCAAAAACTTCCACAAAATCCAAACCACTTCTGGTTGTATTTTGTTTTCGTAAAGGTGGTACGTGATTAAAAGAAAAATTCATGTCAGATAAGAAGAACGATTCAAAATTGAAAAATCAACTATATGATATTGTAGAGTAAATCGAGCAGCATCCAATAGTATATGTTATTTTTCGCTTTTGAATAATTCACTTTTTCCCACATTTGTTTTTAAATTGTTTTTTTTTTATTATTTCTTTTGTTTCACAGAAGTTCCGGTTCCACCTCCTGCAGCTCAACTATCAAAAAAGAAGAAAAATATTATAAATAATAAAAGTAATGATCTACCGGTAAATTCTTGTAAGTATTTTTTAAAAATCTATATTTTAAATTAAGATATATGAGTATGAGTGTATTTTTTTTCAATGATAACTACTATCATGATAGGATAAATACAAATGAAATGTAAATTATCTATTATATGATAAAATAGAGTAATATAATAATTTAGTTTCTTGAAATTTTATGATGAAAGATAATCATCAATTCGCTGTACTTCGTCAAGATTGAACTAAAGTTTAGGAGGACGATAAAACAAGAAAAAGCCAATAGGAAATTTAATTATAATAAGACAACCATGAAAGTAATTGATGGAAAAATTTTTTTCAGTAATAAAAAAGACAATTCTTTTGTCAAAAGATATTCGATTTATCACATCTAAGTTGAAATTTATAAATGAATACAATATTTTCAATGTAATTAACAATTGAACAGCTAATTTGAAAGTATACTAAAGAAAATAGTTATTTCCAGTTAGTTATACCATTTTTTGAGTCAGGTTTATAAACAAAAATCTTAACATACATTTGTTTAGAAGAAAAAAAATTTTTTTTAAATCCCCATTCAAATAAATATTTTATTGAGCTTAAAAGATATCAAAATATAAATATTAATTTATAAACAATTTATACAATACAAATTCATTAATAGATCACTTTGAGATCACATCAATTCAAACGATACTGATATAGCAAGAACATACGCATGGTTTTTCTAGAAGGGTTATTATGAGATTTCTATGATTATCTATTAGAGAAAACAAATATATTGATTAAATTTTTATTCTATACAAAATCGTCAATTTATTTTAAATCTAAACTTAGCTTGAGTTTTTTCATTGTATAGAATAATTTATTATAAAGTTGTATTAACATTCGAAATAATTTGTAGATTTTCATATATATATATTTGTTTCAAAATTTATTGATAATAAATACTATGTATTTTTACTTTTTATTTAATCAAATGTTAATGAATAAAAAAAAATTTTTTTTTCTCTTGTAGCTTCTGGTCGTGATACATTTTTATTGAATAATTCAATATCGAATGATACAATTGAAGATAATGTTATTGCTCCTATTGATAATGCTGCATATGATGATGCTCTTGTACGTGTTAATGATGTTGTACATGATAATACTATTGAACATATCGATGTTGTTGCACATAATGATATTATTGCTCATATTGATGATATTCTACATGATGATATTATTACAGATATTAATGATGCTACACATGATGATGCTGTTGCACATATCGATGATGTTGAACATAATGAGGGTGTGGGTGTGAGGTGTGGGTGGGGTGTGGGTGGGGTGTGGGGGTTTGGATGTGGGTGGGTGTGGGTGTGTGGGTGTGGGTGTTGTTCTTTTTCAAATCCACACCCGTACCCACATCCCCATCCACACCCACACCCACACCCACATCCCCATCCACACCCACACCCACACCCACATCCCCATCCACACCCCCACCCCACACCCTCATGCCGAAATAAATATTGAAGAAGATGATAATATTGAATAAATTTTATTAAATATAAACAACATACTATGCATAGTCAATAGTGTTTCAGAAGAAATCATTAAACAATGCCTTTGTCCATCTGAATTTGAAACCAACGAACTATAGTAAAAGAAGAACATCATTTTTTTTTTTTTTTATCTAAATACTAATAATAGTCTGTACAAGCAATTTCATTTGTTAAACATGTGACTTTGCGAAACTAAAAATGTGTATATCTTTGAAATTAAGTATTTCTTTTAGATTATTTTTATGTAATAGACATATTCTACAGATACTGAACAGTATTTAGAGTGGCTAGTTTATTTTTTGGTTTCTTCATATTGTTTGTTCTTTCAATATAAAAAAAAAGCAAAATACCAGGTGTACCTTAAAAAACACTTAGTATTTGTTTTTTACTAGGACAAATGTTGTGAAAGGTTTTGCAAACTACTAGAACAAAATTTTCTAAAGTATAAAAGAAAATATCCATCTGTTATGAGAGAAAAATAGTATATCGATTAAATATCTCGAACTACAATTGAAAGATATCTCACACACCTTGATATACGATTCTAACAGGATCATAGATTAACAATGAGATAACTACAAGTAGATTAAATGCAAAGACGAAATATTTTTGGAAAAAAATATTTTGATTTCAACGTTCGGAGAAGGATATCCTTAGTAACTGAGGTATTTTTGACTTTTCTTTTCTAGAAGTCTGCGGGACAAACATTTTTTTGTTCCGTTCCGAATTTTTTTCGAGTTGTCCCAATTCCGTTTATTCCATCCCGAAAAATTTTCGGGACAATACCGATTGTCCCGCAGGATGGGACAAACGGAATTTTTCGGTATTCGGGACTGTCTTGCAGTACTCTACTTTGTTCTATAATATGAAGCATCTAACTTAAATCCAGTTTATGATTTAAATAGACAATAGAGTTTTCTATCTAGAGTCTTAGAAGATTTTGTTGAAGCGAAGTCGCCTCATTTTCTACAGACTTCTCGTTAAAAGTTAAAGTCATCATAAAAATCATTAGAAATTGACACATTTTAAGATAAGATTGAAGAAAATATGACGATCCTTCATTCCACTTAAAATTTTATGCTCTTTACGGATAGTATTGTTGAAAAATAACTCAAATAAAGTCTTTTAACACCTGAAAACTATCGTATCGGGTTTTTTACGAAGCTTTATAATCATAGTTCATTAATGAAATGTTAATATTGAATGCATTAGATGGCAAAATTTCATTGCTAACTTAAATTATTATCTGGATTTGAGCTAAACGATTGACATTTTAGAGAGAACAACAAAAATACTTTATTTATCAATCTTTTTTCTACTATTTTAGTTGATAAAATATGTATTTTACTAAAGTAGAACAACGATAGAACACTCTTGTAAGTCAGTGTTTCATCTAGTAGAGTAGTCTTCTATCTGTCTAGAAGTAGCAACTTCAACTAGAGTGAGCGTAATGAAATCTTCTCTTTTCAAAAACGTCGAACCTTCTGTAGAAATTGGTCAGTCTTCGTGCAACTATCTGTGTTTAGATCTACTTGTGACAGAGATTCATATGAAGATACTTTCTGTCAGACAAAAATAAAATGAGAATTCAGACTCTTCTATCCTCAAAAACAACCGGGAATCTTTTCTCAGATTAAGAGTCAATATTCGATATCTGTTTCCATTATTATTAGTTGTTAAATTTTAATCTCTATTCATTCAACAAGAGAAAACAATTTTCTCATATCATATTAGCTTCTTTTTTTTTTTTAGATACAATCATTCAAAAAATCATTTTTGAGAATAAAAACATTCTATATAAACATGATGGTCTATCAGAAGATAAATATTTGATCTTTTTTTTTTTACAAATAATCTTGATCATATTTATTTGCCTATTAATAAGTAAACCTTTGTTTTCTCTAAATTTAAATATTGAAAACTATTTAAAGAGATGATAATTCAATGGATAATTGAAAAAGAATCAACAATCAGTGCAATAATTGGACGAGTAAAACATATTTTATTAAACAATAAATAATTTTTCACAATTATTTCTTCTCAATTCTCAAACAGTTTTATTAATTGTTTTCAGACAGCATGTAGAAGTTGGCCTGCAGGTATTCTCCTTCAACTTGATTAACACTATTCACTATTGATATTTTATATAATGAATATTATGTATGTCAAAATAATTCTGATTTATATGAAATAACACTTATAGATGGTTATGAACAAGATCAAATGAATGAATCTATTAAAATACTCAATAGATCAAGTATAAATCAAAGAAATGAATTGCAAATTATTAGATATTGGTCAAAGTGAATTAACATGGAAACAATCTAATAATGATAGTAATTGACTATTAGTTGATTATTATAGTAAAAAAAATGTGAGAACGACAAACTGCATCATTGAATCAAATTTGTCTAATAAGTATTATAGAAAGAAAAACAATTATTAATAAATTAATTCATTATACTAAATATCGTTTACATATTTGCTCAGAAAATCAATATTCTCGATCAAAACCATGTGAAAATGTTGAATCAATATACTTATTAAAAGTCCATTTAGTAAAATATCAAAATATATTTGACATGCACTATCAATAAAAAAAAAAACAGTTATTTTTATCTTCAAGACCCTTCAAAGTATTTTGTTAAAAAGAATATGTTTGCATGTTTCTCGTATAGAAAAATTGTCTTTTTTTAAGCGTCTTGACGCACCTTTCATGATAAAAGTAGTTGGTTTTGGTGTTTTCTGATTGGACATAAAAATTCTCAAACAACAACTGCAATTATGGCGTCTAAGCACGTTTTGAGAAATTCTTGTCTGATTGGAAAATTTCCTTCAACATCAAAAAACAATATTTAAGTTTTTTTTCGAAACTCGAGTTCTGAAATGAAATTCAGCATTCAAACATTGAAATCTTTAGTTGAAAAAGTGATCATTCAATTGTACAAGATAATCATATATAATTAGATGCTATTGGTAATACAATTCAATTAATATTTAATAAAATTATAGCAAAGAATGGTGATATATAGAAATTTGTGTAAAATATTTTTTTTTTGTACAAAACATTTAATCATAATTTTTCTTCTTGTCTTTTTGAATTTCATCATTAATTAATATTGTTATTGTTTAAGTTTTAGATATTTTTTATGAAGGCATTGAATATCCTGACAAAGATATGATTTGCGAACCAGCAAATGATTGAGCATATACTGAACAATCAAATACATTTGTTACTTTATCTATATGAAAAGTTCGTATAAATGAAGGTAGAATTTAAAAATTAATATAAAAAAAATCTTGCTAATTCAATTGAAACATCATTTGATATTCATAGCCAGTGTTGTTTTTCAACTAGTAATCAATATTAAAATTAATAATATACATGCAGAATTGGTTGATATTATAATGGAAGTACCATTAGATGGTATTCACAACATATTCAATGTGAATGTCTTTCAAGTCAAATATTTAATTATAAATTTAGTCGTCTAACAAAAGAATCAAAATATGCACAATAAGAGTCTTAGTAGAAAATAAATTAGGTCAATTGAAACCAATTATTGTAAAAAAATTTATTTTATGTATCAAATGTACTAAGAGAATTTAAAATTATTAGTGTAACAAGATTAACATGTTAATTACAATGGTTATCACCAAATGATGATGATGATGATGAAACATCAATTTAAATTTATATTATTCAAAGACAAAAAGAAAAACATTGAATTCGTCCTATACCAATATTAGTATAAGGAGTAACTGTATAATTAATTATTGTACTCGTTCTAGTGAATCTGTTACAATTAAAGATCTATATGATGTTTCAATACAACCAGAATCTATAATAAAATAAACGAATTGACTGATAGATCATATATACTTTCATGGAAATTATCTATTCGTGATAATAATAGTTCAATTATTGAATATATAATTGAACGATATTTTAAATCATATTTATCATTTATACGTATAGAAACCATAACATCTATAACTGAGTATTTATCATAAAATAGAAAATTTCTTAATAAATGGTGAATGAATATGAATTTCATATTGTTGCATGTAACCAAGTTGGTTTCAGTGCATATTCAAAAGTAGATTGATCTACCATCGTTCGAACACTACGACAAAGTATTTCACTACGTATTGTAGTAGTAAATAAATTCAAGTGACTATTTTAGTAATATCAAAAATTAAATTTCATTCAAAGTATTGTAAATAAATTATTATTGATGTTAAATTTATCAATATGAATTAACAATAAGTCATTTGATAAATTCAAAGAAAATTATGTAACAATTGATCTATTTGAAACAAGCAACAAATGAATGTGATATAGCAAAATCATGTCTTAATATTCTTATTCAAATAGTTCCATCATCATAAGATGGATGCATCATCACAAATAACTGTTAAAGATAAATATTATGTTAGTCTTGTTTGGTATACATATTCAAATGATAGTGAAAGTGAACTATTATTATATATTAGTGTAAAAATGTGAAAAAAATAAATTGATTTACGAAAATTGTGAGAAAACTCAGTAAAAGTCAAGAGAAATTCATGTCTTTCGAAGAAACAAATAGAGAATAGCATTTGCTTGATATTAAAATGGGTAAAGACAATCATTTAAATGATATCTTAAACTATAGATCGGAAGTTCTTCTATCTAAATGACATATCAAAAGCAAAATTTCATCAACATGACAGATCATTTTTTTGCAGAAATTATTGATTTTAAAATGGTTTTATTTTGTATAATATTAGAGGAAAAGATGTTCCAATGTCCTCTCTTTCGACTGATGGAAATCGCAGCTCTTTACCCATCTTTGTTTTAGAGTTATTTGAAAAATAATCAAATTTATGGAAGTTTTAAATGCGCTAAAGTTTTTTAGATTGAACAGAGTTTTTATTCTATTTTTTTTTCTGTTTAGACGAAAAGATTATACGTATTATGGGAAGCCAAATCATCAAACATGTTCAAATATTCAAGAAAAAAATTTAAATTCAGTTAAACATCTTTATATTACTAGTAAAGAAATTGAAGATAATTGTGTAAATTATTTTCCAAATGTTAATGAATTATCTATTAAAACATCAGTTGATTCGATTATTACAACACTTCATCGTATGATTCCTTTAAGGCAACTGACGAAACTAGTTATTAATTCTTATGTTTGTTATATGAAAGACATTATCAATTTATTATATTTTACACCTAATGTACATACATTGAACTTGAGCTTATTATTCTGTAATATTAATATCAATTCCAATAAACAAAATGAAAAATTTCAATATGTACTAAAGAAAAATAAAATACAAAGTTTAGTTCTTAATGGAGAATGTTTATTCAGTGAAATTCAGTTCATTGTTTATTTATTTCCAAGATTATAATATCTCAAAACTCAAATAGAAAGAAAAGAAATAGCACAAATACTTCGATTTTTATTATCAAAAACTCATAATAAAACACGCAATTTATTCTATTTATGCATTTCAATGGTACCAAAAGTATGTCTAAAAGAAACAAAGATGGTAATTAAATCAGAAAATTTATTCAATGATCATTCTATTAAATATATTAATCGTGATTTACATTTATGGTGGTAAAAATTTCGTGACTTAGGGGATATCTTTTATTTATATTATTGTTGTATATAATAATTATTGTTATTAAATAAGAAATAATCAAAGATTGAAATTTCAATAAATGATATGATTTTATTCTCGAAAAAAAAAGATTTCCTGAAGTTGAAATGCAAAGAAAGCATTTTTTTGTCGATATGTTAACATCATTGGATAGAGCAGCTCGTCGACATGCTTTTCAAATATTGAATTTTATCCATTAAGGCAAATTATAATGAAAAAAACTTAGAAAATACTATATTTCTGATTTTGACGTTAAAATGTTCTCATTTTTTCGAATATTGTTGATTTGTTGCTTTTTTTCTTATATTCATGTTTGATTTTATCTTCTCAAAATATTCTATTGAGAATCTTCAAGTATTTTCATTCTGGAAAAAGAGTTAACAGGCGAAAGCGCTTAAAAAGTATTTCAGACATATGTTGAGCAACAAGTGAACTTTCTGATCTCTTGAAGAATATTTTCCAAGACAGGATTGTTCAATAGTGACAAATTTGAACGACTAGTTCTACTTAATTGTAATTGATATACTGCCATGTGTTAATAAAGATAAGACTCTTCCTTTCTTGCCAAACTTGAATTTTGAATGACATCAGCGAAAGAACGTTAAAGACTATTCTTTCTATTTGAAATTAAGAAATGTTATTATCAAATATTAATTGAAAACCACAGTAGATAGCACTTGTAAAATCAGTTAAAGAAGAGCGTCATCAAAAATCCTATAGTTAAATAAAATTAAGCTTATAAGCAAACTTGACCTCAGAAGAACTACAGACAGATTTCGAGAAAAAAATGCTTCCGAGTAGATCACAGATAGATTTTGAGTAGCAGACCCTTTGCCAAAATATAGATTTTCTCATTTACTTCTTTGATAATAAAACTAAAATACTAACGAAAATTGAGGATGTTTGCATCTATGCAAACTTAACCTTTTTGGATAATACCTCTCTAGAGACTAGAATACTCTTCAGCAGATCTACTCTCCCTTGAAATGCTCATTCAACTGTTTTATTTCTGAATTTGTCGAAGTCGTCTTTTTCTTTAACAAAATTATCAAAAGAATTTTGAATGCTCATCATCGAAACGAAAATTGCATCAATTCGGCGATCCATTTTTCGATCACTGAATCTATCAATGATATTCTTATGTCATGTTTACACTCATGAATATTTTGATGTCATGATTAATCATACATACTGTACTTCGTAATTGCATCAATGTCTCAAATTATTTACTGACAGGACTCGTAACCAAAATAAGTTGATGGATATGTTAATGATTTAGAAAGGACAAGGTCGTAATTCATAGGGTGTATGACAGAGTTAGATAAATGTTGTGTACAGTATGAAATGTTTTTAATTATGTTTTTGAGAGGATGAATGAAAGCAATGATCATCTAGAGCTATACGATCAAAAGAAACCATAGGAATATAGATGATGAAAGGTATTCGACGATCTTCATTTAGATGTAACTCATATGGATCATGTATACTTCGACGATCGACCTTTTCAAATATTTTTCTTATTATGAGAGAGTTGATGTGAATGTAGTATTGTTCTTAGATTGGTCAAGCTGCATACACAGAACATCAGATTTATGAGAGAACATTTTTAAGTATCTAACTGCTTTTGAGCTCGATTCTTGTGTATTTGATAGATTCCATTAATGCATAATAAAGTACCAAAATGGAAAATATCCATATACCTAATATTTGAGAGTTAGAGACATTTCACTGCATTTTTCTGTGTGTTCTGTCATATGCCAATAAAATAAATGACAACATTCTGAGCTAATAGATAAGGCTTAATCCACATAGAGATGTATCAATGAGCAGGATGTTCTCAAAAATATTATCACAACAAAACGGTTTTCATTACCAAGATATTATCAATCCCAGGCATAACCCATTTGGCCATTTCTCATGAAGAATACTTGAATGCTTTGTCTTTTCGGATTTTAATATTTGCGAAAGAGAAAAATTTTTTTTTTGAGATAAAACTTTTGAAGATGTGGGTATGGTTGATCAATATGCCAACATCCACACCTACACTCCACACCCATCCTCACCCATAACCACACCCACACACCCAATGAGGGGCATATGTCTGTAATGGGGATTTGTCTGCAATGTTCTCTTCCGTTGCCATGTGTGTGTAAAGCGGTGAGATGGGGTGAAAAGGGAAGAAAGAGAAAGCCGGAAAGTCCTGATCTTAAAATTTACACTCGCTATTTTCTTCGAAAATATACGTGAGTTCCACAAAATATTTATCGTTAAATTCATAATTAATTAAACCTCACTAATAATAATTAATTCAGAATTTTTTGATCATCGCAGTTTAGTAAGAGTTATTTTTTATTAAAAAGACAATAAAAATTGAGAAAGAAATTAACATTAAGCTAAATAAAAAAATATTTTCATATAACGATTTATATTTATTTTAAATTATTATTTTTTTTTGTTTCAGTTTGAACATGAACTAAAATGATGTAGTTTAAATCCAATTTTCAATTGAAATTAAAAGAGATGAGAATTAATATAAAGTATAATTCTTCTATACAGATATTAAAAATATTTTGCATATAAGATAATTATTTCTTTTTATACTTAGACTTGTCAGGGACAATTGTGGGCAACTCTAGTCACGATGTTAATAACTGAGTTTTTACTACATTGTTTTGTACTTCAACATATCTCTTGTAGTATGTCTATCAAAAATGTACAATGCTTTTATTCCTATTGGAGTAATCAAGGCCTTTTTTTCTTGTAGAACAGTAGAAACTACGAAGTTAAATATAATCAAATCTTTAATAACTTACTTTCGCCATCGCTCGTTTTAAGAAGATCTTCCTAGTGAACACATAAACACAACGCATTTAAATTTAGTGTGCAGATTTGTTCAATCGTTCTGAATCACAGTCGACAAGGTACTAATGTCGGATTATTTTTATACTACTAACGGGTATTTTTTGAATAACTTTTGATCACTTTGAGCTATCGAACTGCGGTATTCATCATTCGAAAGAGCAAGCTGGAGGACACAAAATCCCTTCGATTTGGAATGGTCAAGCAATTTATCAACCAGGGGAATTTTTGTTGAACATATTGTGTGCTGCCTCGTGGTACTAATTTTCATTCGAGTTGAACTTTCAATGGTAACAATCGATAGAGAAACCTGTTGTCTTTAGATCTAGGCAAGGCCGAGCTCGCTATGTCGTTTTGTTCTGGAGCTATAAGCATTTTTCCAAGAGCCTCAA